TCTATGTGTAATACTTCTTTCAGAAGCTCTTGTAAAGCAGGCCTGGTGGTAATAAAATCTCTGAGTACTTGCTTGTTCATAAAAGATTTTATTTTTCCTTCAGTTGTGAAGCTTAGTTTGGCTGGATATGAAATTCTGGGCTGAAAGTTCTGTTCTTTAAGGATGTTGAATATTGGCCCCTACTCTCTTCTGGCTTGTAGGGTTTCTGCTGAGAGATCTGCTGTAAGTCTGATAGGCTTCCCTTTGTGGGTAACCTGACCTTTCTCTCTGGCTGCCCTTAGTATTTTCTCCTTCATTTTAACCCTGGTGAATCTAATGATTATATGCCTTGGGGTTGCTCTTCTTGAGGAATATCTTTGTGGTGTTCTCTGTATTACCTGGGGTTGAATATTGTCCTGCTTTGCTAAATTGGGAAAGTTTTCCTTAATAATATCCTGAAGAGTATTTTCCAGCTTGGATTCATTCTCTTCATCGTATTCAGGTACACCTATCAAACGTAAATTAGGTCTTTTCACATAGTCCCATATTTCTTGGAGACTTTGCTCATTCCTTTTTATCCTTTTTTCTCTATTCTTGTCTTTTCATTTTATTTCATTAAGTTGGTCTTCGACTTCTGATATCCTTTCTTCTGCTTGATCAATTCAGCTATTAAAACTTGTGCATATTTCGCTAAGTTCTTGTGTTGTGTTTTTCAACTCCGTTAATTCATTTATATTCCTCTCTATATTGTCTATTCTTGTTAGCATTTTGTCAAACCTTTTTTCAAAGTTCTTAGTTTCTTTACATTGGGTTAGAACAAGTTCTTTAACTCCCAGAAGTTTCTTATCAACCACCTTCTGAAGCCTACTTCTGTTAATGGAACACAGTCCTTCTCCATCAGGCCTTGCTCTGTTGCTGATGAGGAACTGTAATCCCCTGTAGAGGGAGAACATTCTGATTTTGGGTATTCTCAGCCTTTTTAGGCTGGTTTCTTCCCTTCATTATAAATTTATCCATCTGTCATCTTTAAATTACCGCCTTTCTAATTAGGTTTCTGAGTGGACGTCCAATTTATTGATTCCCAGGGCCAGAATCTGAGCAACCCACTGCGCTGGCCTAAACAGCGGCATTAAGACTGATGGTGCTCTTCTGCCTGGGAATCTCTGGTCTGGCTTCCTTCTTGAGTCCATAATAGGCGACTCTGCCTCCCCAGAGCTCCAAACATTGGTCAGAAAGGGAACCAGTCCCGTTTACTCTGCACCAAGAGCTGCCGCGCAGAGGCGCCAGCAAAACCACTGCACCGGCCACAAGAGTCGTGCTGGCGACCCGTGGGGTTCCTCCACTGGGAATCTTCTGGTCCATGAGTGACAAAAATTCGTCTGAAAGTGTGGCGTCCTCTCATTCTCTGCGCTTTCACTGGGAGCTACAATCCCGAGCTGTTAGCGATCAGCCATCTTGGATCTCTCTTTTTTTTTTTTTTGCTATGAAAGTGCTTTATTAGGCCAGACTACTTACTATGAAAATGCTTTTTTTTTTGAGATGGAGTTTCCCTCTTGTTACCCAGGCTGGAGTGCAATGGCGTGATCTCGGCTCACTGCAACCTCCGCCTCCTGGGTTCAGGCAATTCTCCTGCCTCAGCCTCCTGCGTAGCTGGGATTACAGGCATGCGCCACCATGCCCAGGTAATTTTTTTTGTATTTTTAGTAGAGAAGGGGTTTCACCATGTTGATCAGGATGGTCTCGATCTGTTGACTTCGTGATCCACCCGCCTCGGCCTCCCAAAGTGCTAGGATTACAGGCTTAAGCCACCACGCCCGGCCAACAATTCTTCTAATATGGCTCAGGGAAGCTAAAAGATAGGCTACCTCTGCTCTATTGGACAATGCTATTAATGGCAAAACCCGCAATAACTTTTGCACCAAGATAATGCCTTAAACCCATCTCAGCTGAAAAGAAGGGGCACTTCTGTGTGTACACAAAAGAAGGGGCAGGACTTTGTCTACACACGCTGGAGAGGCAGGGGGGGTGGCAGAGGGCATCACAGATGACCGCAGACAGAGGGAGCCAGAGAGAGCTGAGGGGCCCCAATCCTTCCCGTGGCAAGTTTTCAGCACTGCTCAAAGACTGACAGCTTCAGACAGGGACCTGAGATGAACAGGGCCTCAGGTCAGCAGAACCAGGAAATCGCAATCCTTTCGCTCTAACTCCAGGTGAGGGTCCCTCAAAACTCTCACCTGGGAGGGTGGGCAAAAGTGCGTGTGAACCTCCCAGCCCTGACTTCCCTTCCCTCTCATCCCTTGTCCCTCCTTCCTCTACCAGCACCCATCTGCCCTGCCCTTCCAGGCTGCTTTGCTCTGAAGCTGCTCCTCTTCCTCTGGGGAAGATCAGAGGCTAGGCTGAGCGATGTCAAAGTGATCACATGCACAGGGCCACAGGAAGTCACAGGGTGCAGCTACCATTCTTTTTGAAGCACTAGGGGAGGGGGAAGGGTGAGGTCTTTCCCCCACCTCCACCCCCTGGGAGGCAGAAGGTAAATCATCAGAAGCAGGTCACTGTAGGCGGGGCCTTGTCTTAACCAGCATTCATGTGGCGATCGCCCCTTGCCCATCTCCCATCACCCAGGACCAATAACCAGAGTACCAAAGCAGAAAATGAGCCTCAAAGTGGCTCATTCACAGCTGAGGAAACAGAGGCCCTGGGTGGGGAAGGAACTTGCATGAGATCACACCACCAGCGAGTGGCAGAATGGGGACAGAGCTACCCATTTTCCTGACTCCCACTCTTCCCACTGTGCAGGCTGGGGCTTCCAGGGAGAGCCCCAAGTCCTCATACTTGTGCCCAGTCACTCCATACCTCCCTGACCAGTGAGCAATCCTCACCCCCTCTGCTCTCACAGGTCCTGGCACAAGGCAGTCCATGCCAGAAGGTGCCAGGCAGAGGAAGTGGCCTGGATGAGGGAGCTTGGCCTGGCAAGCAGCTGGGTTCAGCAGGTTCAGCCCTTTCCTGGTAACCAGCCTGTCTTTCAGCCCTGAGGAGCTGCCTGGAACATGGGCTCCGCTTGCCTGGGCCAGCTCATCCAGCACAGGATGAGGGAGGATCCAAGTGATCAGTGGGGGCTGAAGGGAGCTGGCCATGGGGCAGGAGGAAGGAGAAGGCTGTCAGGGAGACCTGGGCCCCTCCTTGGGACTCTCATAGCACCTAGGCTCCCCTTATATAGCAGCTGCTTCCTCCAATGGGCCATGAGCCCTCAACAGCAGTGCTGGCACTCATTCATCTTTGTGTACCCAGCACAGTATGAGGCACGCAGGAGGGTACCCCACAGAACAATTACTGAGCCAGGGAGCAGCGGGTGGGGTGGGAGATCACATCCAAAGCAGCTGGAGGGGGGCAGCCATCAAGAACACAGAACCTCATAACCCCAATTTCATCACCTATAATGACATGAGCTAAGGTATCTCCTGTCCTTGCAGCTTAGAAGCAGCTCATGGCAAGAGGCTCTTTCGAGCTACCTTTACAGAGCACATGCCGCAGGCTGGGCAATCCACTCTCAGTCCTTCCCCAGGTCAACCCTATAAGGTAGGTTCTATCACTGCTTCAAGGGTTAGAACAGATTTAAAAGTTGTCCAAAGGAGTGCTGCTTGTCAGAGGGGCAGTGGAGTCTCAAATAGGAGTACACTGAGCAGACTGTACTCTGACCCCGTCTCCATTTGTGCAACAAATCTGTGAGCATCAACCATGTGTTGGGCACTGGATGCCGTAAACAAAACCTGCCCCAGTGACCCAAGAGCTTTCACCCCAGTTAATGGAGGAGGCGGACAATTAAAGAAACCAAACACACGACCCAGTCACACAGTGCCACGATGAGATAAATGCTATGAAGCAGAACAAAGTCAGGCAGGTGGGTAGGGCAGGGGATGCCACACTCTTCCCATGGAAGTCCAGATAGTAAATATTTGCTACCTGGCACCAGCTTTGCAACACGGTCTTTGTTGTCATCACGCAACTCTGCCAAAGCAGCTGTGGACAATATGTAAATAAACGGGCAGGGCTACGTCTAATAAAACTTCATTAATGGACACCGAACATAGGATTTTGTAATTTTTGTGTGGTAGAAAATGTTATTTTTTCCTGTTATTTATGAATATGAAAACCATGGCAGGCTACAGTGGCTCATGCCTGTAATCTTAGCACTTTGGGAGGCCAAGCGGGTGGACCACTTGGGGTCAGGAGTTTGAGACCACCTTAGCGAACATGGTAAAACCCCCATCTCTGCTAAACACACAAAAATTAGCCAGGCACGGCGGTGTCTGCCTGTAATCCAAGCTACTCGGGAGGCTGAGGCTGGAGAATCACTTGAGCCTGGGAAGTAGAGGTTGCAGTGAGCCAAGATCACACCATTGTAGTCCAGCCTGGATGACAGAGCAAGACTGAAAACAAAAACGAACAAAAAACCACTCAGCTTGCAAGTTAGACAGAAACATGTGTTGGCCCAGATTTGGCCACTATCACTTGCCAATTTCTGGGCCAGAGTGGCTGGGTGAGTACATGAGGATGTACTTTAGACAGGATGGTTGAGGAAGGCCTTGCTGAGGTGACATGTGACCAGAGATCTGAATGAGGTCAAGGAGAGTGCCCTGAGCACCTGGCAAAAGGAACAGCACATGCCAGGGTCCAGCCATGTGAATGGAGAGGAGGGGGATGTGGAGAAGCCAGCAAGGGTTTCAGAGGTCAGCAAGAGCCAGGTCACATGGGCCCCCTGCAAGGACCTTGATCTCCACGTGACAGCAAGCTACAGAGGTCTGGCACTTGTTAGCTTCATGACCTCGGGCAAGTTATTCAACCTAAGTCTCAATTTCTCATTAAAAATGGAAAGAATAATGGTATCTGTCTCAGTGGGTATTATAGGACGAAGTGAGTGTCATGCACTAAATGAATGTCAGCTTCCAATGTTACCATCAACTCAGAGTCCAGCTGGATGAGACGGCACAGGGAGGAGTGGCCATGACTTTCGTCCAACTCACCCACAATGTCCACCACATCCGGCCGGATGAGCGGCTCTCCACCCGTGAGCCGGATCTTGTCGACGCCTTCCTTCACAAAGAGCCGGGCGAGGGTCAGGATCTCCTCTGTGGTCAGCAGGTTGGCCTTGGGGGTGAGCTGGACTCCCTCCTCGGGCATGCAGTACTGACCTGGATGAATGGGGACATGGAGGGAGGAAACAGGCATTGCCAGCAGCCCAACAACAGTCCCACCTCCCCAACAGGCCAAAGTCTTTCCAAGCCCATCTGGACGTGAGCGGAGACCTCACTAAACCTGAGTTGGAAAAACCCCAGGCCAGCATCTCCCCAGGCCTTGCCTTTCTCATTTCTGAAAGGTCAACACCTTTCCCCAAGCCCACCACACACAATCTGGACATAATATCCCAGAGAGGAGGGGGGTGGAGCAGGAGAGGAGGGGGCGGGGCAGGAGAGGAGGGGCAAGGAAGATCAACTTTGGAAGTCCCTCCAGCACTCCTTGGAGGGATTATGAAATGAGGCCTCTTTGTATCAGCCTGGCCCCAAGCTGATCTGTCATGGGTCTGGAGCATCTCCAGGGTCAGCAGTGCTGGCCATGGGCATGGCTGACTACTTCACATGTTTATAATGTCCACCCCCCATCCCTGGCCACGTACTAGACTTTGGGAACTGCAGGGAAATGGAGGAAAGAGCCCTGAAGAGTGAGAGGCCCAGGACCCAATCTTAATTCTAAATCCAACTACATTTGTTTTCAAATCTAATCCCAAGGAAGACACAGCTTCCACAATCATACAACTCAGCCTTGACCCCTATCCTGCCCCTAAATCACAGGGCCTGGAGCACAGGGTAGTGGGTGAGGAAGTTAGAAGGCAGAATTGGAGGATTCAGGAGGATTTCTGGGCTCAGGGAAATTTCAGAGGCTGCTTCAGTAGAGGGACACCAGCCCAGAGAGGGCCCAGGAAGGTGACTCACATCTGAGGTTGCACTTCTCTGTGAGGGAGATCCGAAGGTAGCTGTGCTGCCGGCCGAAGCTGTCTGTGAGGATGGCGGAGAAGGGAGCTGCATGCCCTCGCAGGAACTGCCTCTGCTTGGAGAGCTCCTGCAAGGACAGGGCAGGGAGGAAGCATGGGTCCCTGCTACCAGGCTGGGGAGAGGCGCAAGGAGAACCACCTGCCCCCTCCATTACTCTGACATCTAGGCAGCACTTCTAACCCTTCTATATGTTTGGGCTCTGCAGTGTTGGGGAAGCTGGGATTGTCCCTCTCATCGAGAAATGAGAATGATGGAAAAGACCCATCTATTAAGTACTCAGCTGCGGATGGAGTGTGATCTCTGCTGGGAGAATTTCTGGCTGGGAAGCAAGGTGGAGGCAAGGGTGTGGGGGAGTCTATTAGTCCTTCTTCTTCACACTAGCCAGTGCCAGAAAAAAGGATGATGCACCCATGGTCTCGGGCATAAACGGGAGGAAACTGCTAAAGGCGGCAAACAAGGTCCAAACTCATCCTGCAGAGAGAAAGGAGGGAACCAGCTTCACCCTTTCCCATGCCCAAGTCTGGTCCGTCTCCCGCTGCTGTATCGGTCTTTCGGAGAGTTCAACCTGGACCCTGACAGATGCTGATGAGATAATTGCTCCAAGGAAGTAACATTTACCAAACATCTTAAAGTTTCCAAAGAATGTTCTGTTCCATTCCCACACCCACTCTACAAGAGATTATTGTAACTAAGGCTTGGAAGGGGTCTGATATCAACCTCAGCAGAACCAGGATTCAAATCCAGGTTTCTTGATTCCAGGTTCTAAATTCTTCCCTTCTATTAGAGAGAGAGAGAGTCCAAGAAGACAAGGAAGACGACAATGAGAAGATAGGGAAGATGACAATGAGGGTGGGTAGAAGTCACTTCTCTAGAATGTTTTGAACCAAAAAATCATGACCCTGGCAGTCATGCACAAGGTCCACAGAGAAGGCTCAGGAATGGGGGGACCAGACCCTGGTTTCTGGGACAGAGATGACCTGGCACACTGGGACGGCCCCTTAATTTCTCTAGGCCTGTTTTTCCAGTTGTAAAATAAGAATATAGCTATAGGCTAAGGTTGTCTTGCTAGGAGCAAAAACAGGGGCTGGGTGGTGGTGGTGGTATCATGGTGGGAGGTGAACACCTAAAATTACAATGGAGAGCAGAAGGCCCCAGGCCCTCGTCTAGCGCAACTATGCCTACATTAGGAGGAAGAAGCATTTGCTTCAGTAAGTTTCTCAGCTCCAGCTGCACATTAGAACCATCTGGAGAACTTTAAAAAAAGATTCCACTGGAGACCGACTAAAGCTGGATCTCTGAAGCTGTTATGTTTTCAATCTCTCCAGGTAATTGTCATCGGCAGCCCCTGACTGGGTCAGGAGCTACCAAGTTGTTCAAAAATAAGAGACATGAGTGCGTGAGGCTGCTCTGATTTTCTGGGCCCACAAACAATTCCTCACTCTACCCACCCCAAGAGAATTTCCCGCTTCCTCAGAAATCCTGCTCAACGTCCTGTGGGGAGTAACCAGCAGTCCTTCTCTAACTGCAGTCTGCTAGAATCACACCAGTCACTTCCTCCCTCCCTGCGGTGTGGAGAAAACTCAAACTCACCCCACTGCCTTTCCACAGACAGCCTCAGGGGTGGGGTGGGGTGGGGGGCACTCCATAATCAAGAATCTCTTCAGTCACCAGAGTCCAGATGAGATACTTGGGAATCTGGGTGTATTACAGGGCTGCACCTTCTTTTTCATCAATAGCTATTTGCAATTCCGTTATGTTAGTCACCTCTTCACTTGTCAAGATATCCTCCCACAACCTAGTCTTAACATGTTGTGGGGATGGGGCGGCTGGGTCAAGGAGGAGTCAAAATGAATCAAGGAACTGGAGGTGAGAGGACCAAGGAGCACGATTCAGCAGAAACACAGGAGCAAGCACCATGATGGAGCAATCAAGAATGGAATTAGGGGTTGGGCACTGGTGGTTCACGCCTATAATCCCAGCACTTTGGGAGGCCAGGGTGGGCAGAGCACTTGAGGTCAGGAGTTTGAGACCAGCCTGGGCAACATGGTGAAACCCTGTCTCTATTAAAAAATACAAAAATTAGGCATGGTGGCGCGTGTCTGTAATCCCAGCTACTGGGGAGATTGGGGCAAGAGAATCGCTTGAACCCGGAAGGCAGATGTGGCAGTAAACTGAGATTGAACCATTGCACTCCAGCCTGGGCGACTGAGCAAGACTCTGTCTCAAAAAAAAAAAAAAAAAAAAAAAAGGAATTTTGTTCGGCTGATCAGATTTCACTTCTGAGAACTTTTGTGACCTTATCTAGACTCATACAGACTGCACCACTGGTTCTGAACCCAGCTTCCTCAACACTCTCTCACACCCTGCCCGCCATGCAAACTCACCACTTAGATATTAACGAGCTTCATCCCTGCATCTTTTCTCTCCTCTAACACTGCATACCCTACTTTCATTCTTCTACCTTTTTCCTTGTCCCTTAAATCTCCTGGAGAAAAAAAAATAATCAGCACCGGTCAAAGGAGCCAGAGAGAATGATAGGACACAGCAGACAGCAACCGTGCTTGCTCAGGAAGGGCTGGGACATGTCAGAGGCAGCAGGAGGCCTTGGATCATATTCCCAAGGTCTCAGCCTGACCCAGGCTGTTTCTTCTCCATGAGAAGTCATCCTGCCTCATTCAGTATCCCCGGTATCTAGCACAGGATGTTGGTACATTTTGAATCACATGAAAGTCCTGTCCCTAATGTAAACAGAAAGGTTGTATATGCAAAACTCAGTTACATGGGGGTAATAATTTCCAGGCTGGTCTCTACTGTCAAAATGGTTTAACCTGGTACAGTGGTGGTTCGAAACCCTGGCAGCACATCAAAATCACTCAAGGATCTTAAAGAAGGACTGATGACAGAGCCCCATCCCAAAGATTCTAGCTCAACCCAGTGCCTCAGCTGTGCAGGCAGGACTGAGAACCGTCAGCCTAGTGACACCAAGTGCCAGGTGCTATTTGAATCCAGGGCTTGTTGTTATGGTTCTGAGCACAGGATTTGGAGTAGGCGAGCCTGTATCACAAGCCTGGCTCTAGCTGTGGAGAAAGTCATCTAAGTTCTCTAAACCTGAGTTTCCTCATTTATGCAGTAGGAATAATAATCCAAACTAACTCTATTGGAGGAGTTCCTGGCACATGGGAGGTTTTCAACCAGTGATCTGTACTGTGATCAGTTTTTCTAGTTTGTCAGCTTCCTTTCCCTTCCAAGACCCTGGCCTTCCAACCCTACTAACGGCAAATAGCCAGAGGCAGGGTTTCAAAGCTGCTGCCACGCCACCCAAGTATATGGGGTCTGAGCATCCCCCAGAACCACTAGTATTAGTTCCAATAAGCAAGCACTAGGCAGCCTGCCAGATGCTACTGGTCATCTCATGTCTACCCAGTGCAGACTGGGGTGACGGGAGTGGGGAAGCGGGGGATCCTGCCCTCAAGGTGCCTTCCTCCACTAGTCACTAATCTTGAGCATTTGATTTGACTGCTAAAGGCTAGCCCTCAAATAGCTCCAAAGTCTAAACAGAGCTGCAGGGTTATTCAGGAGAAAAAAAGCACATCCAAATTCAAGTATCAGTGGCCCCGATTACCTTGCTGTTGGGATGATGTATACTAGGGGTCTCTTAAAATTAATCACTTTTAAATGAGAGGACCCAGCAAAGAGCCTAGCCTGATTTTCCTTCCCCACTCCCCTTATTCCCACCCTAAGTATGGCTTCTGGTAAGGACAGTCACATTTCACTGAAATATGGATTATGAGGAGCTGGGCCGACTGGAAGTAAAAATGACTCTCTGGAAAGTCCTCTCCCTCCTTCCTCTCATCCCCCCTCACCAGGCCCTGCTGTACTTCCACCTTCATCCACACCCACTTCCTTGAGCCTAACCTCCTAGCCAGCATATGTTTTCTCTGGCCCCCTAAACAGCTGGGTGCTTTTGCCTTGCCCAGAGTCACCCTCCCTGCTTCCTGCCACCACAGGCCACACACCTTCTTGTTACCCAACAAAGCCTGCATGGAGCCTCAGAGGGAGGAAGAGGGGTACAGTGCTCCCAGGCTGTGCTGAACCCTGCAAAGATTGTCTGGGCCACCCCAGACACAGGCTGGCAGGTTGCTGTGTCTCCCCAATCCACCTCCCCATTGACCTACCCACCACTCCTTTCCACATATAGAAGCTACTTAACCTGTTTTTGGACTCAGCTCATGGCCCCGCCTTCCACCGTCCTCACAGCTAGCTCCCACTCACACCTCACTTCTCTCCCTCACACCCTCACCCTGCCACACAATGCCCAGTGGCTCTCCATCCTAGCTCTCCAAGAACCTCCCATCCCAAAGCAGACTACCAGCTGCAATAAGGGAAGGGAGGCCAGGGGTTCAAGATGGCCTCACCCCAACTGGTAAGCTCTGCAGATGAGCTGAACGTATCTCCAGACTCACCTCCCCTTAGAGTCTCTTCAAGACACATTTCTGTGCGCTCTCCCATCTTATGATGGGCTGGCCCAGCCCTCTCATTTTATGAACACAAAGCAAAGGGAAGTGACAGCCCCAGGAGCCAGGTGAAATTGGAGGCAAAAGTGGTACGTGAAAACGTGGCACTCCCTGTCCAGTGTAGTCTACTATGCTGTGTGACTCCTCACTAGCTGAGGTTCAAGCAGCTACAATTATTGGCTGAATCCACTGCCTGCACAACCCTGTGTTAAGTGCTGTGGGGAAATACCTAGAAAGGCGGAGGTGCGCCCAGCCCTCGGGAACTCCCAGTCTGCTGAAGATCACCCTAATGAGATGTCCAGGATTCAATGTGAGTTGACAGAATAGCTATCCAGCAAGTCCAGATGGGAGGGGACTCACAGGACACAGCATGTGCCAGCGGCAGCATGGATAATAGTAATTACCACAAACATTTACATAACACAGCACCTACATGGACTAAACTTTGTTCCAAGAATATATGTTAACATATGTTAACTCTTTTAATCCCCGTGACACCCTATGAAGTAGACACTATTCCCACTTTGCACATGAGAAAACAGACACTGAGAGGTAAGAGGACTTGCTGAATCCCCTAATAAAGGATGGGGTTGCCCCAAAGTCTATGCTCTCCCTTCTGCCTCATTACCCCTCCCTGCACAGTGTAAAGGGATGGATAGGAGCAGGCTCTCTCCCTGGCCTCCACACAGGAAGGATAAAAGTGCAGGCTTTAGAGTTGAGTTCCCACCCTCTACTTTACAGCTCTGTGACTGGAGGAAAATTAACTTCCATTAGCCCCCTCACCTGAAGGTACAAACTCTATTTACTTCACATGGCTTAGTGAGAACTAAATGCTTCCACATGTGAGTCACTCAGCACACAGGTTCTCTCATCAAAGACCAGTTCCAAATAAAACGGGGGGTGGGGGGCAGTTCAAGAAACTTCCTTTTTCTTGAATTCTTTAAACATCTCTCAACCATCTTTGCTTTCCTATCTTTTCTTCAATGAAGTTCCGAGTTGGAGGATACTAAAGCCTGCTTATCTGAGGATCCCAGAGGGGGGTTAGATTTGCAGAAAGCAAATTTGGCGGAAGTCATTGAGCAATATGGGGGGGGAGGGAGCAGTGATTTTACAAATCC